TCTAGACATACAGAGTCCCTGAAGTCTGGAGGGCAGACTACAGTTGATGGAACTATAGGGCTCACTCCCACATACCTGAGGAAAAAAAGTGAAGGAAAACTGTCAAAACTTCAGCAGTCTCCCAACCTCTAAGGGCTTTTAAAAAAGAGAGAGCTTATAAGTGGCACTTAAGGCCTCCTCCAGGATCAGCGGACACTGCTGATGTAAAAAATACATATATACAATCAAGCTTTTAAAAATAAACAAGAAAACTTCACAGCCTCTTCCTATTCCTGGATTGCAACTTGGAAAGCAGATGAAAGAAGCTGGATCCTCTCACCATCGCCAACAGGCAATCAATGACTTGAGTCCATCACAATTCTGATTATCTAAATATTCTTCTAAAAGGATTTGGGTTTAGGGCAAGCCCTTCAGTTCTATTGCCAGAATTTAATAAGTTACCCACTTATTAAGTGTCCCAAACCCACTAGTATTCTCCTTTCCTCATGCAGTCAAGGCAGGTCTCTTAGCATTATAAATCTTGGCTTCTTCATACACCAGAAGCTAGTCCTGTCTAACTGGTAAAGGAGTACTGGAAAGCACTCAGTTGAGAAAAGTTGCACCACTAGTACAAACTAAAGCTCTGACCATCTAGTGATTTGCACTTCCCAAGTAAACTGCTCCAATCAAACCCTCGTGTCTGGTGAGGTAGAGAGCAGAAGGCACAATCTTACCAACTTTGTTTTTCTGGCTGTAAGGTTGGCTGCATAGATACGAAGAAGGCATCATACGAGCTAAGAGACAAAGCAGACAGGTCTAACTACAGAGCAAGAGACGCCTTGCTTACAGAGATCATCATTCCAAACTACCTAAAGTAGTTGAACAAAAGGCATCGTTCATTACAATTATTACATTTCAGTAAGTAGTCCAGCAGCCTTGGGGTTGGAGGGAGAAAGACCTGAGTATAGGACCCTCTCCAGCAGCCCTTGAGAGCAATTGCCGTAGATGCTTTGAGAACAGAGAGACGTTATACATCTTCATCCTCTTTCTCTAAGAAGTCGGTCAACGTACTGTCATCTACAGGAATTAATAAGTATTCCACACCATCAGCTCCCTGAGAACAGACATGCATACACATTCTGTTAACACCAGTGCACAGTGCAATGCAAGCCACTACACAGCACTGCAACACTAACGTTTAGTTGCAGTTTGGGTGAGAGCTGGCCAGCATTCAGAGGGACTACATTGCTAAAACCCAGGAATATTTCACTAGAGCAACACTGGAAAACCACAAATACTGAGAAAAGTCAGTATCTGAGAAATCTTCTGGTGGGCTATGCTAGTCTGACACTACACAGCTCCTCCACACTGTGTTCCCATATCTAGTGCTGCTATAGTGCCTCATTATTAGGACTAGCCTGCATTCTTCCCTCGTGTAATAGTTACCCTTACAGGTAACCATTGGAAGCAGACTGGCATGCTCCAGAGTCCGTTACTTCTCAAGGTCTTCAGGATGAAGAGACCTCTATGTTGCTGAGTGACCAAAGCACCTTGTATTTTTACAGCCCCATATCCATGTAAAGGGTGTTGACAAATTGGAGGTACAGAAAGAGCTGCAATTACAGAATTTCACCCCTTTGCTAGTTTCTAGAAGCTTCAAACAATACAGCCTCACTGTGAGCTGCAGAGTGGTGTCTTAGGGACACTTAGTAGCAAGTAAGCATCTTTTTTGTTTAAGGTGGCTGAATACCCAGAATTACCTTCTTCCCCAAACTCACCCGCTTGGTCCGGATGAGCTTGTGATCCCTGAATTCTGTCAGCTGTGCCCTAAGTGTCAGGTCACTGTTCACAAGGAAGGCCTCCCGACACTGCTGGTAAAAGTCTTGGAAAGACAGCCCTGGAGACAGAAAAAGGCGAGAACAAGAAATTGAAGTGGTAGGATTGTCAGATTTTTCCAGGTGTAACAATACAAATTATCTCCACCTACAAATCTTGCCTTGGTTTAGACCACAGTGGCTACTGTAACATCATCACTTCTTTCAAGTCTACAGCCAAGCTGTAATGAGTAATATTTCAGTAATTAGTTGAAAACCGCTGAATTAACACTCCAGTCACCCTGTTTGTCTAATGGGTTTTTAATATCACTTTAAATGCACTTCCTAATATGGCAAATTTCTCTTAATTTCCAACTCCTCTATCTTACTTTCAACTTTCTTTACCATTAACATGTTACTGATATCCCCTGCAGCACCCGTTAGAGACAGTGACAGAATATTCCACGTGAATCCTAGAAAGCAGGGACGCATCACAAGTCATTTCGATAGGAGCAGCATGGGAAGAGAATCTCTTGTCTTTCCCTGATCCTTTAAGTGCGAGTTATGCAAATTCATATTCTTCCTTTATTTTAATTTTTTAACTCCACAGTCCCCCATGAATAGTCTCAGTCATGTCTAAACATCAGAGCAGACAACAGTAGGAGGAGGTCCTTCAGAACCAGCCAGTCTATTGATTTCCTGTCCGAGTCAGACACAGTACCACTAGAAAGACAGTCTACGCCACTGAGTCTCACTGAGCCAATGTTACAGCACTTCTGTTGCTGGTGATGAAACCTGCATACCAAAAGCTGGTGCTGCTGTGACTGAGCTGGCAATGGCAACAACCTAAACAGATGAGAAAAGGTGGGTACATACCTGGATAAGATGGGTTGTCCTTGTTGTCCAGCTGGTACTGAGCAAGCAGTCTGAATATCCCCCTAAGTGAAATGAGGAGAAGGGAAAAATCAAAAGGAAAAAACCAAAAACAAAAAACCCAACCAACCAACAAAACCCCAAAACCAAAAAACCCCACCGTTAGAAAATATTAACTGATTTTTTCCTTCATGACCAGGACTTTGTGCATGAATCTCATCACTGGACAAAACTTGCTATCCAATCCAAATGCTGTTCATTTAAAGTAACCAATCAACTGGAACTCAGGTGCTACCATCTTTATCTTGAATACTGTTGTCAGAAACCAGGGATTGCCTCCTGCTAGGTGTAGGCCAGCGTAACCTGGTAAGGACTGGATCCTCAGCAAGTGCTACTATGAAGTAAAACAGTGTCTTACCTGGCATTGAGAGTGAGGCTGCGCAGGACATGCATTAGGGAGCTCAAAGCCAAAGATCCAGATTGTTGTACTAAAAGCGAGTTCTCATAAGACGTTTCTTCCACATAAGGACTAAATGTGGTTGTTTCATACCAAAGCCAGTTGTAGAGGCTTAGCTTTGCCTGATCCCACACTAGACAGAGAGAAAAGAAAGAGCAGAGAGAATTGGGAGATTTAGCTTCTCTAATGTGTTAAATAAGCAGTATTAAAATGTACTTAGGTCTACTGTAGGATTTGAGGAAACAATGTATGCTTATGAAATTCACAGTACATACACCCAGATTTTGGTTGGACTTGATGATCTTTGAAGTCTCTTCCAACCATAATGATTCTATGATTCTATACTTGCAGTTCAAGCAAGACAAATTCTCTGCAACAAAACATCTGCACACATCCCTTTTTCATACCAGCTTCATAGATATACGGTAAATCCTTCCAGAATCAGCACTGTGCAAAGAATTTCTGGCTGATAAACAACATTGTTTAGATGCAATGACAGACGTAACATCCAATCTCCATTTCAGTAAGTCCCTAAATCAAAGGGTGCCAGAAGCTTGGAGTCTATTTGTATATTATCATCAGTGACTGGTAGTTCTCAATATCTTTATACAGCTTTGGTTCAACACAGCCACAGTCCCAGTTGGGGCTTCTAGCTGCTACCACCGTAGAGACGTCACTAGATCTATTCTGCACATCAACAGTAATACATGAGCTTATGAAACACGCTCAGCAGCCCCAAAGTAGAACACAGATTCTTCTCTCTTTGCTACATCAGGCCCAAGAGGACTCACTGAGGGGAGCATTGATGTGATCGATAGAGGCAATGATGTAAATGCTAGGCAGAGAGGATAACTGTGCAAGGATCTGCTGACTTCTTTCTCCTCTCAACATCTGGCTGTCCAGGTTATGAATGAGGACATAGAGCTCTAAAGATGAATCTGCAAGGTCAGAAAAAACAGCAGAGAACCAATCAAGGAAACTGCACACAAAGTGGTTTCCCACTCCCAGTGCAGCCTAGGACAAGTCTATTCCATCAGGCTCCATATTCATCACTCCAATATCAAATCACTTTCCTTGTACAGCTTACATTGATCTCTATCCCACACTTGGTGTTTCTGAGCACCTAAAAGGCTTTTTCTCAACCCACTGTATCATAGTTCTCATCACAGCTACAGTTCTTTTTGCAGTTAGAGCTTTTCTTTTATAGTCCACTTTCCACTTGCTCATGGCTTTACCAGGAATTGCTCTTTTAGCTATGACTTTTAGTCCTGTGATTCAAGGTCATTCAAATGTATTTTAGGATAGAAGTCTTAAGCAGTTTGTTCAGCTGCTTTTGAGTTACATGACTAGGATCCTTAAGCTCTTCCTCACGCAATGAAAATGCATTTTCTATTCAGGGTTGAATCCAAAGCATGCTAACTTCATTGGAAGTCTTTCCCACTGAGTCCTCAAAGGCAGTTACAAAGCCTTAGCTTGGATAATGCAAATGGCAGATGTTAAAATTTCCAGTTAGCTTGTTGCTGCTGTACTTATCCCTGGGAACAGCAACATTTCCAGCCGGCTTGTTGCTGCTGTACTTATCCCTGCCTGAGTCCAGAAACAATTCTGGAACAGCAGTCAGGTTTTCTGCAAATGAATACATACTTGGCTGCCAATGGAAACCAAAGGTTCCTCAGACTCCCACTTAGATCAGCTATAGTGTACTACACAAGACTGATCTATGTAGATTCAGGTGGGTACCGCCATTAATCAGTCTTTTTCACTTAGACCCACCAGAAATAGTCATAAGGTAATGATGGAAAACAGAATGTAAACACTTAAACACCAACACCATGCGCAATTAAGATTCCATGGCAATTTGCGTATGTATACACAAGCAGTAAAACAGACATTCAAAAAGAATTTAGCAAGCATTCCGCGTGACACCACCTGTTTAATTTTGCTTTTGAACCCAATTCTAACCTGCTTGTGTGACACAGCTGTCCTTTATTTCATCTGAATGTCAGTATTTGCATGTACTAAATTTAAATGACTGTTCCGCAACACCATATACATTTAAGCCTTAACCCAGTCTATACTGAAATTCATGGAAAGCTCCCCAGGCCATGATTTTCCAGAGGAGCTCAAAGGACTTGATATCTGCCAGCAACTGCCATTCCAAATTGTTTGTCAGCTCTTCATTCTGTCGATTTCAGTGAGGTTTATATCAGGTCCTAAAGCAGCCACTAAAAACCATCTTCCCTCATGTAGCTGGAATTTACCTATCCTGCCTCTCAGCAAGAAACGCGTGGCTACAGAAGCACTGTATAAATAAAGCACAAAGGCAATGTGCTAAATACAAGAGCGATGAGCATTTCAGTTTGTCAAAGGGTTGAGGAGCCTCTGTCTTGTTAGAACACTCGTGCCTTCCTCCTTCCCTTTCTAGAGAACTTAGTGTGTGAAACACTGACTGAGGTAACAGCTTGGGATCATGTACACATATATTCCTCGTGCATATTATGTTTTCATATATGTGGCATAAATTAAAAGCAAGAAAGTATACTAGCTACAATAAACTAAGAAACTGTAACTGCATATATAAAAATTCAGGAAAGAAAATGTCCGGGTTCTCCTAACAGTAAGCGGACTGTAATGTTTTTATGTATAAAGTTAGTAATTTTACCTTCTTTAAACCTTTTAATGATGAATTCAAGTTGGTCAAGGGGGCTGCGGAAGGTCCCTATATGCTCCAGCACCTCTTCTGTGATGGAGTTGAGAATCTGAAAAAGAAAATAGCAGTCCCTTCTGAAGGGCTCTGGCACTGAAGAACCTAGTGCAGAAAATCTGAAACTGAGCCCTTGACTGTCATGACAGAGGTAACCTGATTTTTACCATCAAATACCCAAAACAGCCAACATAAACCCAAAATTTCTACCCCTTTTCAAAACAGTGCAATGAAATAAGGCTTTAGACTGACAAGTATCTATTAATGATGGGAATTACTGCAATTCCTTGGAAAATGCATGGGCTAATTTCTTTAAACTCTTAAAAGAGATAGGAACTGCTCTTCATTCAAGAGTCTGCTGCTATAGGATGCAGCAGGTTTCCTTAACATTTCACACTGAAAGACTTTAGAGGCATCAGTAACACAGGATGATTAGATAAACCTGCAAGCTTTTCCCACACTTACAGATCTCACAGTGATGCTGGGGAAGTATCCATTAACCACAAGGTGAACAGAACTCTGGAGCACAGAGGTACGAAACTTCTCTAACAAATCACGCTTTGAGCCCAGTCCATAAAGCACGATATTGAAACCCAAGCTGCAGAAAGTTAGCAAATATACTGAATCAAAAAAAGTACAAGTCCCTTTTTAGGTTCATACATTCATTAAGCAAAATGATCCATTGCAATCTTGCCTCTAAAAATTTCATGTTTCATCACCTCCAGGCTTACCTTCAGCTCACAGCTGACAAATAAAGTTAGCTGCAAAGAATCTGAAATGTGGCACGTGCATCCTAGTAAAAGAAGCATTTTAGCAGCCTGGAGGCCCACAAATTTAGCAAAACAACTATGGAAGAAAATGGCTTTGTCCAAGAACATGAGACTAGATCTGCAGCTTCAGATAACGAAGAGTAACCAGCATTCACATTCACGCCCTCACAGTGATTATGTTAAATGTTTACCACGAGTCGCAGCAATTACAAGAAAAAAAGCAAGCCTTCATAGCGGTTTTCTACTCTGATCCACAGGCACAATTTCAGAGGAAAATTAAACTACTCTCATAACTTTTTCTTATCCTAACTGTTCCACAGAGAAAGTATAAGGAGAACATGGTAGGAAATCACAAAGCTTTGTTTATTTTTAAGAAGCAGGAAAAGCATCATCTTGACCAGAAAGAAGAGTATCAGGTCACTCAAATAGTATTGGGCAAAGGTAAGGTGTCCAACAACGGTCATTGACTTCAGTATCATCTACGGCTTTGTTCCTTCTGCCCTGTCACATAAGATCTCTAAACGTTTGCCCAGATCACTGAGTCACAAAGAACTCCTCCTCTTGCAACTCTCCAACTTTCAAAGCTAATGTTTTTTTTCATATGCACTGTCATTCCCCATGGACCACAAATTTCTTTATACTCCACTCGTTTGCAAAGCTTCCAAGGGGCTTTCTCCTCACTAACATCTGCTCCTGCCTCAGCGCTTAATTTCAGAGCTGGTGGCCTGCCTTCTCTAAGGCACTTCAGAACCTCACAGCTCTCTATAGTTCCTCAGTTGCTTTCCTGGATGCTTACTCTTTTCTCCTTCCCATGAAGATACACACAAACCCAGATAAAATTTATACTGCTAACGTTTCCAACAGCGTTAAGGTTTCTTTATGCCTAGATAATTAGGTACCGTAGGCATTCAAAGTTAACTGCTGCACCACTGGGGATAGCCACATACTGAAGAAATGGGTGGTGGGCTACTCACTACCAACTATGCTGCTGTAAGCAAAACTGACTGTTCACAAAGGACGCTTTTCTCACCATTCACGTTCCGTTTGTGAATGCCCTCTAGCTTGGTTTACAGAGGCACAGACAAACCAGCCAGGCAGCATGCAACCTCATTTCACTTCAGGCATTCAGTTCAAGGAGTTAGTCAGATATGATTTGGTCTACAGGAAACACTATCCTAATTTTAAATTTAAGGAATCAGTCAAAGAAAAAAAAAGTTGCTCCTTAACTCATCCACAGGATGTTGTTGACATGAGGGTAAGTTTACCGGCAGTGCCTGTTTACTAGGCTTCTTCAGTGATTCTCGTTGCATACTTACTGTAATTGCAGCATCCACTTGGAAAACAGGGATTCATGTTGCTGGTTTAGCTCTTTAATTTCAGCAGCATAGGCAAGGGGAGCTTTTCTCAAAAGGTCATGCAGTGTTTGCTGTGTTGAGAAAGAGATAAGATGACAGTCATTCAAAGCTGGGAAAAAACAAGACAGATATCTGGAATTCTTACAAATACCTCTCTACCATGCTCTCTAGCAAGGGAGAAGAATAGTTTTCACTAACAGTGCACTCAATTCGTGTTTTTTTTCCATGAAGACCCCTCTAAGCACAATTTTGCTACTGGAGAAACAAAGCAGAGATTAAGTAACCTTATTATGGGAAATGGACTAGGACTAGAAACA